TTTTTTTTTTTTTTTTGGTACATATCCTCAGCACCCCAGATCAGACTATTGAAATTCCCCAGTAAAATAACCAAATGTCAGTGGTATGATTTCTCCCTGCTTCTCTGCAACTGAAGGTAGGAAATAAAAGCAGGAAGTCTTTGGGAAAGAAGCCATTTCTATTTGTGCCACTAATCTCATTGAACACTGGATTTTATGTTAATTTTTTGGAACATTTCTCAAAGTTTTGTGGGAATTTTAAAAATGAGAATAGGAGTGGGAAGCCCCCCTGTTTCCACTCTTAATCCCTCAAAACATATTTGGCCTTGCCCTCTGGTAATATCACTGTGCCACTGTATGTATTCTGTGGCTCTTTAGAAGCATGAGGGGCTTAAAGGGGGCCTTTGACCCACCCGATTTGTATGATCCCTTGTCCCATTTGTTCAGTACTGAGATGTTTATGAATGTTATACACTGAAGCTATAGGTTTCAAGTTATAAACTACTTTGGAAAGATAGCAATCTTGATTAGAAATTCCTTAAATAATTTTGTTTCAATCCTTCAGAGCCTCTTTAGTGATATTAATGTTGCGGTGTACTATTTCATATGTCTAGTATTTTTTTATAGATACAACTGCAATTTAGTTTTATATCTTTTTGGCAGTTTCCTACTTCCTTATATCTTCTGCAAGCAACAGAATTTACTCTCATGTGATCTGTTCTTTCTACATATACACTATATGCACAGAATGAGGGAGAGAGGCATTGTATGTACAGGTAGTCCTCGCTTAATGACCCTAATTGGGACTGGCAACTCTGCCACTAAGTGACGCAGTTGCTAAGTGGGAAATCACATGACTGACTGCTTTCTGGCTGGAAAGAGACAAGACTAGTAAGTTATATGCCTTCAGCTTTTGTTTGCCTCCTAACCACTCCCCCACCTTTTGGAATGCTCGAGTGCCTACTTATTGTCTTGTACGCATTAAAAGCAATGCAATTGCACTGGCAACCCAGGGCTAGGAGCCGTAGGCACGCTATGCAATCACCTTATTCTCTTTAAATCCCTTTCTCTCCAATCTCTCTGTGAGGGAGGGGGAAGCAAGCAATTTCTGTAGGCAATCTCTCCTTTGACCCTCTCCCGCTGCTGGTGTGATCACATTGCTCTCAATGTGTAGAAGAGCAAACGGCTTACTCTCTTGAAATCCCCCCTTGCAGAGCAGAGAGATTGGAGAGAAAGAGATTTCAAGACAGTACTATAAGCTGTTTGCGTAATGTACCCACAGCTCCCAGCCCTGGACTGCTGGCACCACCGCATTGTTTTTGATGTGTAGAAGAGCAGACAGCTTACTTTCTTGCAATCCTTCTCTCCAGTCTCTCTGCTCTGCAAGGGGGGAAAGAAAGAAAAAACCCACAGGTTTACGTATTGGACAAGGTGTACTGACTGTAATGGTGACTGTGAGACTGAAGGATGCTCTGAAGGTAATAAATGGTCATAATTAGGTCTTAAAGTTATTTTTTTCAGCACCGCAGTAAGTTTGAACAGTCACTGAATGAATGGTCAGTAAGTGAGGACTACCTGTATGTACAATAAATATAATAATTCACCAAACAGTGAAAGTGCTAGCAGTTTTTGCACATATGGATGGAGTGCTAAACTTACAGTTGTTCCCCCTAATGTGTCAAGTTGCTGGTATATCCAGTCTTCTTTATTTTTTTCTCTACAGTGTTTGTGTGTATGTGTGTGTGACAGAGAATTAAGTCCTCCTTTGACAAGTTGTAGCAAGTGGCTTTTAGTCATCTTTTAAATTTATCATCAGCTTATACAGAAATTGGCTTAAACTCTGCCATTTTATGTGTGTATCATGTTAATTTTCAGGACTGAAAACCAACACAATATATAATCTATAAGATTCAGTTCTCCAAGAACTTTTATAGGGTAATCTTCATTCATTTCAGTGAAAGTGAAGGAACTGTTTATTGACATGCGCACTGATATGTAGTATTTATTCTCTGTTCTGAAGTAAAAGTAATCTTGATGCCTTACAAAGTAAACATGGGGACATTTCAAAATAATCACGTAATAAGACAACAAATGCAGCCAGTAAATTCAACTGTGGTGTCCAACAATTACTAATCTCCATCTCTCAGAGCCATTACCACTAACTAGTAATCTAAAGGCATGGAGTAAGTAAGTGTATGAAGAGTTGATGGTTCAGGTGTCGAGAACCTGTTTCCAAGAGGAGTTTTGGAAAATAAAACCTATATTATAGGTTTGTAATAGGAGCAAGTAACAATAATAAAACTGGAAAAAAAATACATTGGACACCTAGTCCTACTTAATATTTTTGCAGGCATATTTCAATATAAACTGAAGTTTCTGATAACCCATTGCATGGGTTAATAGATCAATAAACATCCCTTGAGGTAGAATAAACTCCTTTCTCAAAAGGTTTTTTACCAGTTGGTTAGGTGACACACTCAAAAGCAGCTGCTTTACGCTAACCTGCTAACCCTCACCAGGTTTATTACAGTAAGCAAGTTTTTGAAACCTTTACTGCTTCACCTGGGTTTGGAAAAAGAGACCGTTGGATTACCAACTGCATCCTGATGACATCTTAGGATATGACATATTCCATATCCTAGGATGACCTGACTTAGTGGCTTCATGTAGATGTTAAATGACATGGAAAATACTGTGTCCTGTGACACTGCTTTCAAGAAGCTGTTCATGTATGAATAAAGGCCATCATAACACAGTCTTAAGCACATACTACTTGCACAGCCTCTCCAGAAGATAAACATGGTTGATGGTACCGAAAGCTGCTATGAAGTCCAAGACAACCAAAAGAGTTGTATTTCCCTTTTTTCCTTGCATCAAAGGACATCCCACAGTTTTAGAACAAGGCAGTTTTAGTGCCAAGCCAAGCGTCGACTCTGTTTGAAATGGGTCTAGAAAATAATTTTCATTCAGGTGTGTCTAGTGTTGATACTGTGTTTGTTAGATTACAGGCTGTTAATAGAAATAGCTGTATAATTAGAAGAAAATTGTAGATTAAAGGGACAGTCAGACATGGAAATATAAGGTAATGCCACTTGTTTAACAACCAGTATCAATGTTGCAATATTAAGACTGAGAACATTCTGCCATTATTCAGCCTACACATTTATTGTATTGCATTTCATTGTGTTTTGCCAGAACCAATCATAGATAATATTCAGCAGAGCCTGCTGTCACTTGTTTCTATCTGTAGAGTGATATGCAGTTACATTACTGAGACTTCTCTGCTCTGATTGTTTTGTAAAATTAAAATTGAATACTTTGCTAACAAACAGTTATGATCTCTACAATACAGCTTCATGTTAAGGAACCATGAAGCACATTTGAGATAATGGTTCTGGAGAAGAGCATAGATCCTCTGTTATATGTGTAGGATGCAAACTCTAAATATTCCTAAAAATGGCTAAATGAAAAGGAACTCTGTTACATTCAACTGTACTGGATTAGTTATTGCTTCTAAATTGCTAGGTTTTAATGCAGTCCTTAAAACAATAGTTTGTATGAAAGATGTAATGAAAGGTTTTGATAAGACCTGGCAAGATACGTCTTCCTCTCAAGCTCTAAGGTCTAAATGGATTAATTAGGCTGTAAACTCTTCTTGGAAGTTGGAAGTCTCCATACTCTGCTCCCAATCTCCCTTGACGTCTCCTGCTCATTTTGAAGATTGCTTTGTGTACATGTCTGGAGCAAATAACTTTGTTTCTGTCTTTATATCTTCAACATCAAGTATTGTGATGTTTTTCTAAAGAACAATAGAAAGTCTGGCACCATACAAGGCAACTAAAAGCACGAGGAAGATGATTATCAGTTACATAAAATAATAAGTTGATGCAGAAAAACTTTCCAGAATCTCTGTTCCATAATTAAATATTGCCTTTTTTAATGTTCTGCCTCCCATTTCCCTCTCCCCCTTCCCCCTTGTGGCTTAACATTATTATCTTACAGCAGGTACTTTTTGCTTTCAGAAGTAATTTGTGATCATGATAAACTGTTGGGGATTAAAGTGTTTATTATTTTGCCCATCATATATGATTGTTTTTTAGATTATAAATTAAACTCTAGATAACATTTTTCATTTTTTTCTGTTTAAAATTTTTCAGCAAATATATGTGGATCTCATGTTTATGTTTTCATATGTAGGAATTAGCATACAGAAAATTTAAGAGACTAGTAATAGCCAAGTGAACAAGTACCACCTTGAACATTTCTGTTTTACAGGTAGCCACAGGACCTGACTTGAAAAATAACCGGATATTAGATGAGCTGGTACAGAACTTTATTTCTGCAAGGTACTCAATAATTTTGCAAATTTCAGAATGAGACTCAGGTGTGACTCAGCTCAAAATCATGGACTAATACTGAGCTAAATATATTTACAATATCTAAATGTTCATGCAACATCAGATTATATGTGAGGAGTCTGGTGCAGGTAATATATGCAGTATTTATTTTTATCCATATGCGGATGTAAATTTGGGTACACAAAGCATTGTCTTCCTTATCACATTGACTGGCTGCAATTTAGTGCTGTTATAGATAGGAAACTATTTCTGAATACAGGGGAGGAGAAGGTAGAATTGAAGAGTAGAATAAGATTGGAGTATGATATAGTAAACCATGAAATGTTTATTATGTAGTCTGTCCTAGGTTCAGTTTCCTGTATTTCCTGGTTGAAATGGACACATAACAGTAGATATTTGTAATATTGAAATAGATGGACAAATAGCTTGGCCTAGCAGGCCCATCTATTTAGATGATATTGCAACATTACCAATTATATCTCCTGTGGTGGCAGGCAAAACAGCAAAAGAAATTGTGGGCCCTGAGCTGAAAAAGATTGCATAGAGGAAAGATGGGATATAAATTTAATATGTAATAATAATGCCATTGAAGGTTAAAAATTATGAATACCGTTCTTCAGCTCTCAGAATTTCAAATTCTTCTTTTCCCTGAGAAAAGGCTTCGGGTTTATATGTCTGGTAATATTGTGATGATTATTTGCTAATAATATTTCAGTGAGCTATTTGTTCTATATTCAAACATTGCAGCATCAATTTTAATTCAAGCAAGTAGAGTTAATGGAGTTGTATCTAACTATATCCTGCTTTGTTTAATGAAGTCTGTCCAATCTTGCATTCTGTGAATGGAAGTTGGGGACTTGCTTTGTGCTGATTTCCCATTTCCTTCCTCACTGCACTCCCTCTGTGCACCCTCATCCAGATCAGATCTATATGGTTGGAACATAGTGGCATATGACATGATGTGAGTATGACTGCAGGACAGAGATTTGCAAATAACTGCCTCCCTCCCTTCTTCTATTCATGGAAGCCATTCCCCCCTACAGAGAGTCACCTAATGAAGGTGAATATAAGCACCTAAAAGAGATAAGAATATAGTCTTAATAACAGACAAAATATCAGTTTTAAATGCTGCTTTATTTTGATTTATGTCCTGTATTTCTGAACATAAAGTATTCAAGGTGATAGACAATTTAAGAAAAAATATAAAACTGTATAAAGACAATTCAAGTTATTGCTCCTGCAACTTAAAGGTCTGGCCGTGCCAAGAAGGAAGAGACCTTCACAGAGAACAATATACTGCCTATGGCACCTACTTTTTCATATTTGTACCTCACTGATTTTGGATTATCTTGGAAACTAAGATGGGTCAGCCTTGGCTAGAACTTAGATAGAGTGCCATCAGGGAAATCCAGGGTGGTTGGCCCAATTTGGAGATCTAACGAACATCCCAGAAGAAGACAATAGTAAGCTACTTCTATAAATTTGTTAAGAAAATTACATGGACATGTCTATGAAGTCACCAAGAGTTGAACTCAGCCTGAATGAGACTTTACATTTAATCATTTCACATGACATGCTAGTCTGGCTTGTTGAGAAATGATTTAGATTAGCCTGGTGGGGGAAAAAAACCCTCTTGTGTGGCAGTCAGCATTCTGTAAGATAATAGTTGGTAAGTCTGTCGTAGAATTAGAGCAAGAATAGGTTTTCTTAACAAGAAATGGAACATTTCCTGTCAGCTAAACTGTGTTACTATTGACTGGTTTATATTTTGGGTCCCCAAAATATAATATCTTCACTAGATGACTCAGAATTGTCTACCCCAGCGGTCCCAGTAAACCTTTCTATGTAGAATAAATTGTTCTTTAAAAATGAAGGCAAAGTTGTAGAATGGGACCCAGTTTGTTCCAGATTATGCAGGCAGTCTTCAGGGATCTATTTCAAGGGATGAAAATCTCTATTGAATTGTTAATCTAATAACCTGCATTTCAAACATGTATCTGTTCAAAGTATTACAATAAAACATCACACTTCATACCTCCGACAATATATTATTTTGAAGGGTGTTGATCTGAGAAGTGGCTTATTGCATATAATAATAAATTCATCCCTTTCTTCAGGATATGACTCCTGAATTACAGTATGTTTGCATAATTTCCAAAGCAATTACAATTGAGATTACTTTCTTGAATCTGTGTTTCCTTTACAAATGCTGTGATCTGCTTTGTATCAGTTTTTAGTGAACTTTCATGTGAATTAGAAAAATGCATATTTTTATAAAAACAGCAAAGAGCTTTTGGGTGTTCTTAACGTCTAAATATTATGATGCAATTTCTTCATTTTGAGATAAGTGTCTCCATCTTCTGAGTACCAGATCCTTTATAGTTGGAGTTTGACAACGGTGAAAACATACTTCTTCTCCTATACTCCTTGGGGATTTCTCTGATCTGTAATTGTAAAGTGTGAGTTTTGGCATGACAAGTTGCAATGTTGTTTTCTCCAAAAAAAAAAAAAAAAAGTGTTTAGTGGAAGCAATATAGGGAAAGCTAGTGAACCATGAAATTAAGAAATTCCAATGATTCTTATTACCCCTGATAAAACCCTGAGTTTTAAAGAAGACTGGTCTATCCTAAACAACTTTAATTTCAGAAAAGTCTGACTTGTATTTATGAAGCATTAGTTTTTGTTTACTTTTTTATTGTTTACTATTTTAGCACTGAAAAAGTTATCAAAGAACAAAATAACATTCTAGCTCTTTTTCCTGGGATTGGAATGGCATGAATAAAACTTAGGGAAATCTTTGCATTCTGCCTATGTAAAAAACTGTTATCAGGGGCAAGAGTACTATTTTTTTTTAGCTTGTTGCATAGTTATACAGTTATTTATCTACCTTGAAAACACAGCAAAATATTCTGTATGTATTGATATGGAACTTAAGAGTTGGCTCTACCTTTTTATTTTTATTCTTTTAATACAGAGCAAAAGGAAAAGGAAAGTAAAAAAAAATTAACAAAACCAAAAACTTTGGTTTGTTACAGGCTTCTCTGTAACAGCTCCACCTTATAGAATTCTCTTTCCCCAGAAATGTGTGTAGCTCCCACCTTACTACAATTCTGCAAATGGGTTAAAACTATTTTATTTCAACATGCTTTCCATTCCAACTGAGTGATTGTGGGTACCTATCTTGGGTTTTATCTTGGGTTTCTTTTGTGGTTGATTTGGGTCTTTTGAAACTGACTTTGATTTATTTATTTATTGTTATGTTTTATTTTGTCTTTACTTGATTTTGATATCACTTGGAGTCCTTTGGAATTGGGGTGTATTATAAGTATTGTAAAATAAGTATATAAGTATTTAAAAAGATGAAAAGAAAAAAAAACCCAGAATGAAATACATAATGAGATAATAGCTCATGTTTTAGTGCAGATTCAACCTTGGATGGTTTAGAATCCTGGTGCAATCTCTGGAGACTTTTATCTACAGTGTGATAAAAATGCATATATTTGTTTGAGATAAGGATAGCAGTGTTCAAATAATATTTGAAACAAAAATATCTGAACTAGATATGATGTAATTATGTGAAAATATATTTGGTATTTGAACTGTGATTTGAAATCATTTGTCTGATAGAATGCTGCATTTTGAACCTCTTCATCTGCATTTGTAATTGTGATGTATTTGTGATGTGATTGTGACTCTTCAATACCTTATAACTGTAGTTCTCACAAAAGACTACTGGCATATATCACTAAAAGAAGAAAAGGATAAGAAATGCATATCTGTTCACACGTCTCAGGTCCTATATCATTTCATTATCATGCTATTTGGGCTACATGGGATGTTAGCTACTTTCGAAAGACTAATGAACATGATGTTTCCAAGGATGTGACTATTATACCTTGGCTTATTTTTAATAATTGTTTAATTGCTTGCAGAGTGCTGGTCTAATTGTGAGGATGTCCAAGTGCTTGTGGCCTCAATCTGAGATGAGATATTGGGGATATATTATGGGCAGCAGAATAATCAGCCCAGATCAACGAAGCTGAAGCCATCCTTGAAGTGGACTGAGGGAAGTAGATGTGAAAGTTCCTCAGAATGGTGATGGGGTGGTATGGAAGATTGGACCCTAGATTTTCAGACATTAAAATTTCACTAGCCAGCCAAATCTACCCTGAAGTGCAGAAGAACAAATGTCCAATGGACTGAAGAGTGTGAGAAGGCTTTTCAGATCCTGGTCAAAACATCTATGGGCTACAAGGTTCAGATTTCTTAGAAGACTTTGGAGTAATAGTTGATGGCTCTGTGGTTGGGATTAGGATGGTTTTGGAACAAGGGTCACCAGGAAAAGTCAGTATTGCTTATATCAACAGAAGGCTGCTGCTCTAAAAAATCTGATCTTCTATTAGCAAATAGGTATGTCTGGCTGAAAGTGGACACTGGAAACCTTAAAATATTATCTTTTGGGGAGGACCTTCAGGCTGCTCACAGATCTCCAAACATTGAAGTGGCTGTGTACCTTGTGCTAGATGGACTCAAGAGCAGCATATTGGACCCAGGCATTACAGCCCTAATAATTTACCATAGAATATGTACCAGGTGAAGAGTAGCTAGTGGCTGACTTTCTATCCAGGTATCAGAAGAAGAAGGAACGACCAACCATTGAGGTTTCAGGACAACAACCATGAAAGAAAGCTGGCTGTTTTGAGACTAGGCTGATGCCAGATGAAATATCAAAGAAAGCACAATCCAAATGCTATGTAGTTTGATCCACCTTATTAAAGACATTATCCAGAAGTTAAGGCAAGAGATCGAACTTGTCTTCACATACCACTTTGGAGCCAAAACCCAAAAGATCTCTATAGATGGCTATTTAGAGTTTAAGAAAGGGGTGATGTAGCAGTATGGTGCACCAGATTTCATAAATTTGAAATGCCAGTCTGTCAAACCACTAGGGGCATAAGCCTCTATGGACCCTGTTGATTACACCTGGA